GTGTTAGAACCCATGTTTCTTCAGTAGGAATGAAAATGAGAATTTTTTAAACCACAGCTGAAAATCGAAAACGGGAAAAGCCAGAGTTTTGTGTGAGGTGTGAATTTTTTTTTCTTGCATGTGGCTTCAAAGAAATCATAATTTAATTTCGCTTGTCACTTTTGACTTTCTCTGGTAGAAGTAAGGAAGGAACAGAGACAGTGGGTGGAGAGGTTCAGGACCAAAACTTAGAAGGTGGAGTTATTTTCTCTGTAGCATGAACGAATCATGCTACAGAAGTGAGCTCCAATCACCTCAAGGTTTTCAAGCTTGAGGATCAGTGACTGCACTGGGGCACTGTATTTGGGATCATACAGCTAGAGCTGTCTTTTTCGTGGGAAAGACCTTAGTTCTTTAGAGTGGCCAGCAATCCAAGTCTAGTTCATTGCAACTTTCAAAAGAAAGGACAGAAATCCACTAGAAAGGCCTTCTCTTGCTTCCCTGGAACCAGGATGTAAACCTAGTGCGAACAGACTGCTTGATTATTAGAAGACATGGGCATGCTGCTGTGCTGTACTTTTTCTTAATCTGTTCATGGTCGTGCTGTGGAGTGACCCAGAGCAGCTCTAATTACCTCCTGAGGCTGTACTCTGACTCTGGGCGCCCAATTGAGTGTGGGGCTGGCTCTCTTGGGGGCTCCCTGCGACACCTGTGGGACAGGCAGTCTGCGCGCGCGTGTGGGAGGGGTGGAGGTGGACACCAGCAGGCCTGGGTGTTCCGGGCTGTTCCAAGAGGCTCAGGCCTTGACAAGCGAGGCTTTGATTCTATTTTCTGCTGAACTAGCTCAGCCACTTCCTGTGCTGGGCCGCGCATAGTGCCTGGCTTCACTGCAGGCTACTTGAGCCCGGAGCCAGCCAGCCAGCGCGCCCCGCGGCAGCCAGCGAGACTATTTTCGGTCCCCTTACAATGGCCTTCTCATCTCCTTGGCGAAAAGGAGCAAGCTGGTCTCGCATTGGCCACTTGTCAGCCGATGACAACTTCTGACTTTGACTTGGGCTCCCCTCCCCCTCCCGAAATCCCTAGCTCAGCAAATATTTGAACCTGCCCAAGTTAATCATGAAGCTGCGATCTTTATCTGTGGGAGACGTGCGAGCGCACCGCGCTTTCCCTGCCCAGTACAGTAGCGCCATCCGGGTGGCTTTCCAGGGGGAGCTGCGCGAGCGCAGCCGCAGCCGCCGGCGAGGACGCGGCCGGGCCGGGCCTCAGGGTGGCGGGCGGGGCGCGGGGCGGAGGGAGCGCGGGCGCAGCCCCAGCCCCGGGCGGACGCGGACGCGGTGCGGACCCGAGTCCCGAGCCCCCGCCCCTGCGCGCTCACTGTGCGGTGCGAGCGCTGCGCTGGCGGGAGGGGAACTTGGAAGAAGAGCGGCAGCTTTTTGGATTTTTTTCCCCCATTGTCGGATACAGGCATTTCCAAAGGAAACTGTTGAAATGCATAACCTGCAAAGTAAGTTGCCTTTTCTGCCTGTGGCTTTTGATCTGTGAACGGTTCCTGGCTATAGTCTGGTCTCAGGGTAGGTGTGTGTGCGTGCATGCGTGCGTGCCAGGAGAGTGTGTGTGCACGCGCGCGCACGCCCGTGAGTGCTGCCTGGAGAGGACAGATGGGAGATTAGGGAAGGCACTCCCTGGTGTCCTCTGGGGGTCAGTGCCAACGAAAATGGGGTTTGGGTGGAGGAAATGAGAAATGCTGGACTAGAACTCGGTGCCAGGGGAGGGCTCCCTCCTCTTCAGGTCCGGTTGCCACATGGACCAGCAGCAGAACCGATTTGCACCCGATGTTGCCAGCTGCAGGGCTGGGGGTCGGGGTTGGCATGTCAGCTGGCCACACTGCTCCGAGGACAGGACCCCTTACACCAGGGGTGAGGGTAAACATTTTTACTAAACTACAGAGGTTTTTTTGTTGTTGTTGTTGTTTTGGTTTTTTTGTGTGAATCTTATCCCAGGACATAACCCCTCGCTTGCCACTTTTACCATTTTTATTTCAATTTGAGTTTAGTTTTACCAAAACCCTTAGGCAAATAGAAAAGTGTGAGTGGGAGAAAGTGGGAGGAGACAGGGTAAGCCTGCCCTCTCCAGTTCTGCGAAAAGGAATCAGAGAGAGGCTGCAGACAGCGCCTCCATCTGCTTCATGATTCCAAAAGTTGATAGGGCGTCTAAGAGAAAAAATTTGAGAGCCTTCTGTGTTCTTTTAGTTGTCACACAGTGTGACATACATGTGTACATAGATGACAGTGCCCACTGTGCTCTTAATGTGAACCCCATTTACACGGGAGGGGGGGATCCCCCCCCATAATACTGTGAATGTCAAAAGCAGTTGTTCACAATGGGAATGTACGTTAGTGAAGGTGACAGAATTATATGCAGGATGTCTTTGAGGAGCCAAAATTAGTCATAGACTTGTATGAAATTGATTTCTTTATATTAAATACTGCTAGCAAGGAATACTTGTCCTCAAAGTGAGGCATTTGAGCTAGAGGGAGAAAAGGAGAAAGGGAGAAAAAAGATTACATCACCTTCCTTTTTGAGCAGTGTTAGCCAAGATCTGCTCATCAGTGAAATACTTTGCAGAGAGATATACCTCTACTCTGCCTTTTAGTATTTTCTTATTTGGAAGAAGTATCTACTTTTTGCTTAATTTTGTTGGACTGGAACATCGAAATTCTTAATGTTGGCAGTTACATTTGTTTCTGCAAATAGTAGGCATCTTCATTTTCCACAGATTTCCATTGTCATCCTACAAAGCTCATTTTTAACTTTGATATATGCAGTTGAGAAGATTTTGTTCATACATTTTTAAAAATTGTTCTTTATTATATGGTCCATTTACAACAGTGTTAAGTTCTGAGCTCTCAGGGAATTATGCAGGACTGAAATATTCAGAGTTCTTGATCCTTCTGCTTTTTAACATATATAAGAGCTATTTAAGGACTGTAAAGTAGAGCAGGATGATACCATTTTGAAGCCTTTATAAGATTTTTATACCAAGGAATGGCAGGGCTATCTATAAACCCAGATGCACTGGGGGGAGGGAGCAGCTACAAGCTGCCGCGTATCAGCTTTTGTCAACCTGCCAACCACGGAGCCTACCACGCTGCAAAGAGTAATAAAGGAATTACAAAACTCACTGCTGGAGGAGAACAGTGAAATTAAACACCTTCAGAAGCGATGAGCCTGTGTACATTGCAGCTCTGCTACGAGTGAATCCTCCGCGAGGCTCAGGACTGTCTGAAGGCTGGCTAGAAGGGAGCTGATGAAACAGGAGTGGTCTGGTGACATTTTTCTGACTTGATTGGCTGGGATGTGTGATGTAATAGGTTACAGTGCAGCCCCTTGTAGGTTTTAAAATGAATTCCAAGACACCATTACAAAGAAAGCCGGACTCTTTCCTTATGACTGAGCTCAGCCAAGGAAACTCTTGCACAAATGTACAACACTGTCTGGAATATGGAAGACTTGGATTTAGAATATGCCAAGACAGATATAAATTGTGGCACAGACTTGATGTTTTATATAGAAATGGATCCACCAGGTAATACTGCAATATTAATGGAGAGAGCTGGTTAATTTCATAGCTTTTTAATTTTTTGAAAGCTACTGTTATAGATATCTAGATGCCTATTTTTATTAATTTGTTCCATGGATAAAAATTAGCTTGATTATAACTGGCAAATCGGAGACTGTCAGAGTAAGGAAGGAGCAGCAGCAGCTCAGGTGGTGTGTGGTAAATACTGATTCTTGAATGAATATGAATTGGATTTCACTTTTTCACCTGTGTCCTTTGTTAATCATGCGTGGTCCTTTGCTAGCTGGTTGTATTGTTGTATAATGTTGCTTTAATTAAAATGATGCCTCCTTTGGTGCTGCGTTTCTCTATTGATGGTAGCTCAGGACTGCGTGATATTTGCAGTGATAACACTTAGTACCTTAGCAAGCATATGATGTAGCAGTGATCGCAACTCGGTTCTCTCTGACCCCAAACTCCTGAATCCGATGCAGAGACTTTGCTTGCTCTCTCGCTTAGACTAAGATACTAGAATGTATGGAGAAGTTGACTTTCCATTTTTCTATTCTAGTTTTTGTAGAATATTCTTCTTGGACACCTGAAATCATTTTTTGGCAAAAGTTAAAATAGTAACAGTGCTTTAAAACTATGACTTCCAATTTAGCTACAAATCCTAGATTTGTTTCCTAAATTTTCTCTTACTGTTAGCCCTCCCCAATGAAGAAATTCAGAAACAGTGCAGTTTTTTTTTTAATCTGTCACCAAGTCAATTATGAATACTGATTTGACATTGAGGAAGGGGGACTAAGGTTTTTTAATCAGACTTGGCATATACAGCACAATTTATTCAGCAGAATATTAACAACAATACTAAGGAGATTTGGGTCACCGATGAGTTTCTTAAAGTGGATTTTGGCACAACAGTGCCTGAAATACTGAGATTAGAGAAATCCAATTCTTCTTAAAGCATACTGATCTAGGTGAGCTTTGCTGTTACTGCAATAGCATTTATAGGGGACAGAGACCAAGTTTGTCTTTTATAGCTAAACAAAGAGAAAAATTAAAGCCAATTCATCTTATTTCTGCTGCTTATATGTTCATAGTTTTTTTTTTTTTTAACTTTAGATGAATTTGGCCAAGCATGCAATTTTAATATTACTGGAATCTAGAAGTAGAAAATTCACATGGCAGCTCATTTTATTCCTCTGTAAGAGTCTGTCTCTGTCATTCTTCTTTTTCAGTTTTATTTCTTTTTGAGCTATACTCTGAAATAGTTCTTTTTAAAAAACTATCTTCTATGGTGCATGGAACTGTGAATTACTGGCGTCTGTGACAGTTATTCTAATTTCTCTTTTGTCTGTTACAATAGAAATGCTATTTATTGAAAAAGATTCTGTCTAGTTTTAAATGCTCAATTGGAGTTGGAATTGCAAGCAACTTTTTCTTTCTCCTTCATCTGCAGCACTGCCTCCTAAACCACCCAAACCCACCACGGTAGCCAACAACGGTATGAATAACAATATGTCTTTACAAGATGCTGAATGGTACTGGGGAGATATCTCGAGGTGAGGCCACAGGACTGCTAAATTCCACTTTTGGGATATCATCCAACATAAGCATGAAACATAGCTGGTTCCCTTCCAAAGAGGATCAGAAAAGTCACCCTACTGCTAAAGCACTGGGGGTGCTGGATGCCACAGGAAATTAAATAGCCAGGAGGCTTTGTTATTGACAGATATCAAGAGGGCACCAGGGTGACACCCTACTACCTAAAGGCAGAGTGTAAAGGCTTGTTTTCTATTAAGTAGAACTTTAAGAATTAATGTCATTGTTGTAAACACGGGACCATTAATTTTTTTTTTTAAGTTTTTTGGGGGGTGGGTGTCAAGAAAGGCTAAGGGAAACCTAATGGGGCTCATGACTTTGCCTGCTGACTGGTTTCAGAAATATATGGAAACTTTGTACTACAGACACACCCTGTAGTCAAAGAAGGTACCTCATTTTTTAGCTCTCATGCACCTGTTTTTAATGAGACTAGAATCGGTAACATTGCTATACAACAAAGAAAATAATCAATAAGTACTGAAAATATGCCTACATGCAAATCTAGAGGGGCAGCATATAGGGATAGAGACTTAGTGTACTTGCCCCATTTTGCTATGAACCTCAGCCTGCATTAAAAATCAAGTCTGTTAGGGTTGAGGGTGTAGCTCAGTAGTAGAGTATCTATCTTGCATGCCTAAGGACCTGAATTCAATCCCCAGCACCACAAAAAATGAAAAAGCCTATTAAAAATGTATACTTATGCTAAGTTCTCAAGACAGTAAGCATTGTTTTTGTTTTCTATTCATTTCAGGGAAGAAGTGAATGAAAAACTTCGAGATACCGCAGATGGGACCTTTTTGGTACGAGACGCATCTACTAAAATGCATGGTGATTATACACTTACACTAAGGTGAGTTAGAAAATGCAGCTGAGATTGGGGTGTTCGATGTGACACAAAAGCATACTTCATACTTCTTAGGGAATTATAATACTGTTATTTTTACATGGTATTTACAGGAAAGGAGGGAATAACAAATTAATCAAGATATTTCACCGAGATGGAAAATATGGCTTTTCTGACCCATTAACCTTCAATTCTGTGGTTGAACTAATAAACCACTACCGGAATGAATCTCTAGCTCAGTACAATCCCAAGCTGGATGTGAAGTTACTGTATCCAGTATCCAAATACCAACAGGTAATCAAAACTGAATTCCTCAGGTTATTATGTTGAGTAGAGAAGATACTTTCAAATGTAGAAAACATTTCATGGTAGGTGAATCAGATTTGAAGAACTTTACACTGTGATCAAATTGCAGTTTTACAATTGCTAAGTCAAACAGTAAGTGTAAACTGTTTTTTGTTTCTGTGTTGCCTTTTTTAAGCAGTTGTTGATTTAATACTACTATCAACTGATTTTTCGTGTTTCCTCTAATCCTTTTAGGATCAAGTTGTCAAAGAAGATAACATTGAAGCTGTAGGGAAAAAATTACATGAATATAACACTCAATTTCAAGAAAAAAGTCGAGAATATGATAGGTTATATGAAGAATATACCCGTACTTCCCAGGTGAGTGTTGTGTTAAGTTAAACTAAAGTTCAGAGCTCTGAGTTACCAGACCCTAACACACATTATATTCAGCTCCAAAAAAAAAAAAGAAAAATGAAAAAAAGGTTGAGATTGTGGATGAAGTGGAGGAGGGAGATACTTACTCATGAGTCACTGTTGGCTATTTTAGCGTTAGATCTCTAAACTAATTAACTTGTAGTTAGCAGAATAATAAATTAAATCCACGTGACAACTGAAGGGGTCATGGTTTTAAGTTGATTTCACAAAAGTCCCCATTGAAGAGTTGTGTTTAGGCTGGAAGTCTGGTCTCTGAAATGGAGATTCCATGTTCAGAGATCCTGTAATGAAAAGGAGAAGCTGCCTTTGCTGCCGTGCTTTTAGAGCCGTGTGCCCCTCTGGGACAGCCCGGGGGAGAAGGCCACACAGGCACTGTACACTGAAATGACTGTTAGGAGGGAGAAAGCTGAATCATTCTCCACTGATTGAGGACACTCTCCATGTATTTCTGTGATCCTGTGCTAACAAGATTTTGTGAACTCTCACCCCACCAATAGTACAGTCAGCCCTCCGTTTGTAGGTCTTTCATCCGTCTGAACATGAACATGCTTTTCTCTTGTCTGTACTCCCTGAAGGATACCACCCAGTGTTCACACAGCATTTACACTGCATAAGTAATCTAGAGAGAGAGTACACAGGGTGAAGGCTATAGTCTCAGTGAGCATCCTGCATCGCTTTCCAGAGGGCCTGAGTGACCATGGAGCTGGGTATCAGGAGAATGGTGGAAGGTCTCTCCTGGGATACCCTGGGATGACTTACTTATAAGCTGCCTGATACAAATTAAACTGCTCTCTGACATTGTCTTATGCTGGTACAGGAAATCCAAATGAAAAGAACAGCTATTGAAGCATTTAATGAAACCATAAAAATATTTGAAGAACAGTGCCAAACCCAGGAGCGGTACAGCAAAGAATACATAGAAAAGTTTAAACGTGAAGGCAATGAGAAAGAAATACAGAGGTGAGTGGACCACCATAAACATTTTTGTTTTACTTGTACTAGAAGTAACCGGTCTTTTAAAACTGCTTATACTAATGACCACTTTCTTTGCATAGTTAAAAAATGACTAGACCGTACTCTTTTTTTTTGGTGGGGGAGGAACCAGGGATTGAACTCACAACCTCCTGCATACCAGGCAGGCTCTGATGCCACTGAACTAAATCCCTGGCCTCAGAACGTATTCTCTATCTAAGGATGCTTATCGCACTGTGATCTGACAATGACACTTTTTGTAAGCTCTGGGGAACCTACACAGTGTACTCAGACAGACACGTTTCTCCTCCTTGTAGGATTATGCATAATTATGATAAGTTAAAGTCACGGATCAGTGAAATTATCGACAGTAGAAGGAGATTGGAGGAAGACTTGAAAAAGCAGGCAGCCGAGTATCGAGAGATTGACAAACGTATGAACAGCATTAAGCCAGACCTCATTCAGCTAAGAAAGACGAGAGACCAATACTTGATGTAAGTATTAGAAACAGAACCCTGGGCACGAGAGACCGGTAACTGCTACAATGAAGGATGCGTTCTGACTGCATTGTCTTCTCAAATTTGTTTTGCAGGTGGTTAACTCAAAAAGGTGTTCGGCAAAAGAAACTGAATGAGTGGTTGGGCAACGAAAACACTGAAGAGTAAGTGGCCGCAAAAAATGGGGAGAACAAAGGGTTTTCTCAGTTTAGCTGACTTTATTTTAATAATAAGTGAGAAAATTCACAAGAGTTTGGAACGTCTCACAGGAGAAAAATGTATGAACTGAGTGTCGTCATTTAGAAATGGTGTACAGTTTCACTGAGAGGGACTTGGATTTATTTTTATCCATAATTGTATAAAATAGAGCTATGGGCCCCTATAAGCATGTCTCTGAACATCTGAAAAAAAAGATCCCAAAATATTTTTGGAGCAATCAGAGAAGAAAACAATTATGTTTAGTATATTCCGAAGGTTAAGTATATGTTTGGCTTGAGTTATTTGAAAACTGGCATTCTTCCTAGACAATTCATTTCCAGATCTAAACTGCGTAAACAGGATTATTTAATACATTCCCTTCCACCCAGTTACCCTGGTGTGATTGTTGACCTGATAGTAGAAACAGGATAAGTTATTGCTAACTACTTTTCCTGGGTTAGGGATGGTTTTGCATTGCAGGGTGAAAAGATTGAGAGCAAAACTCAGTGCAGGGCGGGGCCGGCCAGGTCAGCCATGCGATGCTTGGTCCAGTAGGGTTAGGTCGGAGCAGGACGAAACCAGGTAGAAGGGACAGGAGGGCTCTTACTGGGGGAGGCGCTGGGGCAAGGTGGGGTACCTGCACTCTTCCCTCAAACCGCCTCTCCTGCCTGCTCAGCCAATACTCACTGGTAGAAGACGATGAGGATTTGCCTCACCATGATGAGAAGACGTGGAATGTCGGCAGCAGCAACCGAAACAAAGCTGAAAACCTGCTGAGAGGGAAACGCGACGGCACCTTTCTGGTCCGGGAGAGCAGTAAGCAAGGCTGCTATGCCTGCTCCGTGGTGTACGTATCTCCAGCAGGCTGGGTCGCTGGTTGGTTTTGATCAAGAATTTAATAAAGGTCTAGCCTTGAAGAATCACATAGTACAATAATGTAAAAGAAGAAGTAAATTAGACATAAAGTGGTTTTATAGTCTAGCCACGAGTATTTGTCGGTAAGACCCAATAGCAGGAAATCTACCGTTTAACAGAAGACTGGGGTTTGGGTTCCAGTTGGGTGCAAATTAATCATGAGACGTCAGTGAGTCTCTTAGCGTTGAAACAGAAGCAGCTATGCCCACGGCAGCCTCTTCCCCTTATTTCCCTCCTAAAGCTCTCAGGGCCAGAACTCGAGGCTGCTCACTTAGAACAGCACCTGCACAGAAGGTCTGTTTTAGAAAAGGGTGAGAACAGGAAGAGACATTATTATTTCATAATAGTCTGGGGAGTACTTTAAAAAGGGAATCTTAGGTCACTGGCATTACTGTGCTGAAGTAAAAGTCTTTTAGTAGAAAAATATTCTAAAAGTACATTATACTCTGTGAGCAACCTCTATTTAAGAACTATTTCTTCAGGAAAGAAGGAGCGAGCCCTTTCAGTAGCATAAGGGAACAGGATACAGAAAAGTGCAGGCAAAGAATTGAGTAGACGTTTCTAAGTGAGCCTGAAAGAATCCTATTAATGATTACCAGTTGAGCAGTAATGCTGCTGATCTTACAGCAACCCCATGTTTGGAAGCTGCCATTTGTCACCTGTCTGTCCTGGCAGACACCTGACATCCATTATCTCGTTTTGTGTCTCAGAGGAAATTACATGTCTATTACAGACATGTTGCTCACGTCCTCTTTTTACATCAGTTTAAAGATGAAACTACAGAGCTCAGTGAAGCTGGTCCAAGAGTTTGTCCCTACCCGAGTCCCTCAGCCAGTCATTAAGTGACACCCGGGTGCAAGCCACAGCCACCTCGGACTCTGTCCCCAGGCTAACGGGCTGCATACAGAGAGTGTGGTTCTTATAGGACAGTGACTTTATTAAACTGTCCTGCAGAGTTGTGAGTTCCAGACAAACTGAAGCAGCTCTTGTTTTTTATGTCTTCCCAGGGTGGATGGCGAGGTCAAGCATTGTGTCATCAACAAAACGGCAACTGGCTATGGCTTTGCCGAGCCCTATAACCTGTACAGCTCGCTGAAGGAACTGGTGCTACATTACCAACACACCTCCCTCGTGCAGCACAACGACTCCCTCAACGTCACACTAGCATACCCGGTATATGCACAGCAGAGGCGATGAGCGCTGCCCTCCGATCCTGTTCCTGACCTTCAGCCACCCGAGGCCTCTGGGAAGCAAAGGGCTCCTCTCCAGCCTGACCTGTGAATTGAGCTGCGGAAACGAAGCCTTCGTCTCTCTGCAGATGGGACTAGAGCTTTCTTGGACAAAAAGAAGTAGGGAGAAGGCACACAGCCGAGGGCTGCAGGATGATCAGCTGTTTCTAACCTGGACTGCTTATCCTTCTTTTTTTTTATTTTGGTTTAATTTAAAGCCACAATACAACACAAAGAGAAAAAGAAAGGCAACAATCTCTGCGTGCAGGGACAAAGAGGCCTTTAACCATGGTGCTTGTTAATGCTTTCTGAAGCTTTACCAGCTCAAAGTTGGGACTTTGGAAACCGGAAGGAAAATGGGGCTAAAAGAGCCCATGCCTGAGGGTGCTGGGTCCAGCCTGGTGAAGCCTGGGGTTGCTGTGCACGGAGAGCCCAGACGCGTCGCACTGTGGATTATTTCATTGTCTAACAAGTGAATGATATGTAGCAGAAAGGCACTTCCGCTCACAAGGGACACGTCAGAAGGACATCAGTTCACGTATGTTCAGAGGAAAAATCTGTTGTAGCAGAGTGCCAGAAAGTGTTTAAACTTGTCAAAACGAAAAACAACCCACCAACAGAAAAATGGAGCTCGGAAAACAGGACTTAAAGTGACACTCAGTATATAAAATATGTACATAATATTGGATGACTAACTATCAAATAGATGGATTTGTATCAATACCAAATAGCTTCTGTTTTGTTTTTGCTGAAGGCTTAATGCACAGCGCTATGCAATTCTTATTTTTCATTAAGTTGTCATCAGTTTAAAATGTACTTTTGGAATAAGCTTCCCCTACTCCAACTTTTGTTGCTCGAAAATATTGTTGTCTGTCCCTGATTTTTGTTCATATTTGTTTTGTTGTTTTTTTTAAAAGAAATGTACAGAATGCCAGTAAAAAAGGCTTCAGAATTAAAACTATGAAATATTTTACAGTTTTTCTTGTACAGAGTACTTGGCTGTTAGCCCAAGGTTAAAAAGTTCATAACAGATTTTTTTGGACTAAATGTTTTGTTGGGCAGTGCCTGATAAGCTTCAAAGCTGCTTTATTCAATAAAAAAAAAAAAAGAGAAAGATGTATGACTTTGACAAAGTATGCTGAGTCCAACAATATTGTTTTAAGACTCTTAAAATACGGTACCTGGCAATGTTGTTTTTTAATGAATTGTGAACTTCTTGAATCTAGGGAGCAGGGACGTTGCACCAGGTGGGGTGTGGGAGGGGGTGGTGTGGTGCGCACTTTCTCACGATTACAGAGAAGTGAGTTACTGCAAAGTGAAATTGTTTATATTTCAGTCTTTTCCCACTTTGACTTGCTAGTTGGTGTCAGTTAGTGACAATTACAAACCTACTGTAATTCTTAACCCAGTGCAGCTGGCCTGGGCTTTTGTGTTTTTGTTTTTGTTTTGATTTTTTGATTTTTTTGTTGTTGTTGTTATTCCTATGAAGGAAGAGCTGAGAGTCTGTCTTTGGGTTCCTGGAACAGCGCTCCCCTTTGTTTAGCACACTGGTTTCAAGGTATAATCTCTGCATTTAAAATGTGTATTGTTTTTTCTTTCTAATGTGAAACTAGTCACGACAACCAACATTCATTTTAGAAAAAACACGATCTGAAAAAAATAGGTTTTAGCTGGGTGTTGGTTATTTTCCTAGCTTTCCATTGAATTTAGAACACATAGCAAGGAGATGCAGTGCATGGCGACTGCTGTGGGCTGTGTGGAGCTTGTTCATGTCATGGCCGTTGGAGGAATCCAGAGGAGGACCCTGCTCATTCATCTAAGTAACTGTGTGTTATACTTCACTCTGGGGAAAGGCAGGGGGTGGAGGCCTCATTCTGAGAGTTCTCCCTCCCCAGTTTATATATGCAGAAGTTGTTATGTTGGAGAATGTTGCCGAAAGCGTTCATGTATTGGGAGCAGAGAAAGCTATTATAGTCACGGTCACTGCCCTGGCGGATTGCAATGGGACCTTACCATTTCTGTGTCCCTTTCTCCATATTAGTTTCACTCACAACTTTCTCTCCCCTTCAGAAACACGGTGAGGATAACTTGATTTGTCTTTTAAACATTCTTCCCTTTAAAAATCTTTTGGAAGAATCAGCCTTAGCAGCTGAGTTAATGGTCTGCAGAATGTATTACTTTTCTTTACATAAAGTCAGTCTTCAGCTAGACTGTCAGCCCTCAAACTTGACTTCTGACCTGACATCCCGCTCTCATCTCCAGACAGGTAGTGTTCTTCCTGATTTTAGTCTGTGTCTGTGTTTTAAAACTGGTGGTCAGATCTTGCCACATCATGTAGAAGTCTAACAGTTAATAGTAGTTTATAAACTAGGTATGTGTGTTTGTTTTTAAGGGGAGGGGTTGTTTTTGGTAGCACATCATGTATACTATACAGTACAAGTAATTCTCATTTAATTTTTAAACTAGATCTGAGATTGTAGTTTTCAGTGAGACACTCAACTTTGTTACCATTTTTTGCTTCAACACTGCTAGATGACATGCTACGAGGCAGTCGCCTCGCTCTTGCATCTCATAAACATAAGTGCAATAGATTTTTCATCAAACAAAAGGAAGAATTTATTGTTCCATTCAACAGCTAGTTACATCATACCTATTCTGCCGAGTGCATCTTTGATGACTGTGTAACTTACCCGCCCCTATTGCCCTCCTAGCTCTTTGGCCGCCAGGGCTCTTGCGGGTTTAATCAGTCATCATCTAACTTTGTCTGAGAGGCTTGTGACTATGAATGGATGCAGCAGAGGCACTCCTGATACACGCTTTATCCATGCATCGGTTTTTCCCACTCAGTGTAGCATCCTAAAGACAAAGCCGGAAGCCAGCTGCAGAGAGGCTACGATAGGGCTAGAGCAGGGGAGTGCTGGGACCTCATGTTCCGCACCAGAGTGATTATAACTGCGTAAAAAGGAAAAAACAATGTGTTTGCAAGGTGACAATGTCACTGACCTAGATATATGTATATATGTATATGTGCATGGACTGTGTTTCCAGTACACCTTTCAGCCAAACAGATTCGCAGTGAGTTCAAGTACATAACAAGCAAATGTCTAGTACAGTTACTGTCTATGTGTATGGGTTGCTTTTTCCTTTGAGGTTGCTTTGTCTTAGTAAGGTGAAAATTGTTTGCAAGTGCAGTGAGAAGTTCATCATTCTTTGACTTTATTTCTGCTTTTAGAAGTTACTCCTTTTAGGGAGCAGGTCTGGATGACTCCTTATCCTGGAAATCCTTATTAGTGTGTCAAGTCAAGGTGTTTGTGAGCTGTCACCGTGGGGACCCAATTGCTTTGTCATATAGCTGGTTATGAACTAGTCATGTGTTGGGAAGTCCTACTGATGTTCCTTACTGGGAGAAAAATTCTGCTGGTTTAACAACTGTGCTTTTGCTGTGCGTGGTATCAAGTCAGCTGAAAAGCAGACCCTGTTTTCTTTGAATTTAGGGTCATTTTAAGGAAGGGGCAGTTTAAAGCACAATGCCTCACATGGGACAAAGTTCCAAAATGCCAAATTCTTATTTTTGAAAAATCAAGTTATATAAAATACTAGAACAGTGGGTGGGGAGGGAGTGGAATTGGGTATTTGGAAAGACCATCCAAACTTGTCACCGTGAGATAGCATTAGCTGCCCAGGATGCTGCTATTTAAAAAAGAAAGAAAAAAAAAAAGCAAAACAAAAAGAAAAAAAGTCATTTATACATGTGTATTTTTTAAAGCTATGATCTGTTCCATGTTTTTACAAATCTGTTTATATGACGTTGTTAAAATAAAGTTGGTCTTTTGACGAGAGGGAGGATGTCATGGTCAGGTGTAATTTTGCCTTTACAAGGTAACCGGGGTGGGGGGTGGGGGGAGTGTGCCTCCTTGATGTTTTGTTCAAGTTATAGATCAGTGGAGCTATGTCTCGTTTTAAGTTGCTTTAATGCATTGTATTAGGTCTTCATACAGAATAAAGTTTGTTTTGAAACTTAAGATTGGCTTTGAAATTTCAGTTACCACCTGACAACTATTTCTAAATAGCCCACTCACCCTTGGTTTATAAATGCTATTTTTGTTACTCTCAGTGCCCACTTAGCCCATTCATTCCATTGTCACATCTCATTTTTGTAACGTGACAACAATGGACAGTGGCTACATACTTCCTGGTTTAACAACTGTGCTTTTGCTGTGCGTGGTATCAAGTCAGCTGAAAAGCAGACCCACGAATGTGCTCAGTGCTACTTAGATAATTTCACTATACCCTTAAGAGTGAAACAGAAACACTCTCAGGTGATACCACCTCAAGGCACGTTCTTGCTATTATAGCAAAACTGCATTGTCCCTTTATCCCCACCCCCTTCACCATTCATTCCTGAAGGTTGGGTTGACAGTTATTCTATAAGAACGATGGTTGTTGATGGTCTAGTTTGTCTCTTATAAATCTTCATATTTTGAACACAGTGCAAGGCCAGTATGCAGTGGTGTGACACGGGGCTGTACGTGGAGCTAAGCTACACCCCCAGTGCAAGTTACATTCTGTTACTTAATCAAGAAACAACTCCCACTGAGAAATAACTGCCATTGATTTTTATGGCTGGCTGAATAGTGTGCCAGCCTGTATGTTTATGTAGCTCCGCCCACCCAACTACACTCAGGCACAGGGAGGAACCTAGATGGGAAGTATGTAGCCTCAGAACAGAGATAATTACTGCCATGGCAACAATGATAGAATTCCATGTACACCACTGTAGTGATGAGTTCATTTCCTGCCTTTTCCTGCTCAGTGCAGAATCACAGAACTACACTCCCCAGATCTTTATTCTCAGACTTTAGGTTCTCTGATGACTCCACCAACTGCCACATTGTTCCAGGTGAGCACTCTTACTTTCTAGCTCTCAGCCAAGGCTTGGGCAATATTCCCTCCATCTGTCCTTACCCCAAAGGGTAGCTGCAGACCTGTGCTCTTGGTGAGCCTCTGGTTTGTATCTGCACCCCTTTTTGGTTCCCAAACCCATCATCTGACTTATTAATGCTTATTGAATTCTCTCCGTAAGAGTCAGGCACCCCTTTACGATGGTGATACCCTCTGAGGTGTGTCACTAGCTGATTTTGTTGTGTGAACATGGCAGAGTATCTACACACACCTAGATAGCACAGACACATGCAGGCTACAGGCCGTGTGTGTGGTGCAGCCCACTGCCCAAGAGAACATGACGAACAAGTGTGTGAAGTTAAAGCAAGCAGGAGAGAAACCCAGTAATACTTGGGGTATGTGGAACTGCTCTGCTACTATTTTACCGTCAACTTGTTTAATATGTAGAACTACACACAAAGTATAGTACTGTCATATAAACCAGTAAGTCATTTATTATCAGTATCAAGTGTGATCTAGCACAGATAATTAAGTATGCTGTATTTTTATACAACTGGCAGTGCAGTAGGTGTTCACATCAACATTACCAGAATCATTTGAACACTGTGTAGGGCTCATCGTCACTAGAAAGGCATTTTTCAGCTCCATCATAACATTATGGGACCACTGCTGTATGTGTGGCCCTTAGTGGAAAAATCATTAGGAGATGCATGATGATAAGCATCTTTCCTGACTGGCCCCTGATCAATACATGGTGTGATTTTTCCCCAGGTGCTGTTCACACGCTTTACCTGATTCTGTCCTTCCACAATTCTAAAAGAGTTACAGGATATGATCCCCCATTCCAAAGGTAAGAAGATTTGAAGACTTCCTCAAGCTCATGTAGTGTATCATCGCACAGAGAGGCAGAGCTCTTTTCTCTGTGCTAGGGTAGAGAGAGCTCCAGTAGGAAATGCACCAGAGAGTTCAAAGAGAAGTCACCTCCTAGGCACGCACTAATCATGGACCTCTCAACTGGCAGACGGTAACAGGCAGCAGAGGACAGCATGGGCTCGCTAGAGCCCAGCGCTCCCCAAGTGCAGTCCCTAGACCAACACCAATTGCATCAGCACCCACTTGGTAACTTGAAATACAAATTAGCAGGCTCCATTCTGAACAGTACAGAGGGGGGCCAGCAATCTGTGTCAGTAAGTGGTCAGGTGATTTTAATGCATACTACAGTTCAAGGATCACTGCTCTGGATCACCTGATTATTGACATATAGTCCACATATTTTAATTAAGAGCATTACTATTCATGAGTGATATTAATTTTACTTTATGGTATACTATATGCTTCCAGTAAAGACTCCACAGAGGAAAGAAAACAGACTGATTTGCAGCTTAGAGACCCAGCCTGGTTTTATTTCTGTCCCTAGCCAGTTATGACAAGTTGGTCAACTCATGTCATCTGTCCAAGTCTCCTGTTTTTCTGCAATATCAAGGTATGGGTCTGCACAATCCCAAGACACCTTTTAGACTCCAGGAGTCTCCAACTCCAACAGACAGTGGAACAGATACACCCGTAAATATGTTTATATGTGGCCCAGCCAGATCAGGGGATCCAACCTGTGAACCAAAAGGTGGACGTGTCTGAATGTTGTGGTGTACCTAATGACACTACCCCAGCCCTGGATACTCCATTTACCATTTGTCCACAGTTATATCATGCAATATGACTGGTGACTGTTGACCACTCTTCAGCTGACTGAGAACTGGCCCTTGCATGGTCAGTGAGATGGCCAAAAGTACACATTAACAGAATGTAGGTCTAGTTGATATGTTAAAAGCTTGGTTTTGCTAGATATGGTGGTGTATGCCTGTACTCTCAGCACTCAGAAGGCTGAGGCAGGAGGATTGCTGTGAGTTCTAAGTCAGCCTGGGCTACAGAGTTCAAGGTCAATCTGAACTACATAGTGAACCCCTGTCTAAAGAATAAAATTTTTTTTAAAAGCTATGCTTCAAGTGAATTAATATTGGCAGTAAACTTCTTACCAGCATAGAGAGGAGTATATTTGGGATGACCCTTCACCCTCTATCTAAGCAGGAGGCATCAAGAGAATGTGACCTGTGAAATCAACCAGGGCACAGCAGGCAGTAAGTAAGTAGAGCCTGTTAAGACCTAATACACCATCAGCCCATTTAGAACACTTTTTCTTCCCCCTAAATTTGTTCCTTTAAAGCCTATGTAGAAATTAGAATCCTGTTGTGATATTGTAAGCATAAATAGTTATAATTGATTGTTCACTCTCCAAATTTAAGATTATCATCTCAAATGTAGAATTTTGTAATCTCTAGCCTAGTAATGATGTCATAAATCAGCTCAATAAAAAAAAAACTGCTGATATGCTTTTGGAAGAAGAAATAAAAGATAAATGAGTAACCATGGACATGCTTATCTGCATTTTGCTTTCCAGAAGGAAATGTAGAAATTCCCGTCTTGCTGTAGCTCTCAATCAGACCAGTCTGAAGCATGACCTCAGGCTTAACTTGCTGTTAAATAAAAACTCCCAAGCCATACCTAGCTCAGCACAGGCAAAGGTCTGGCCTCTACTGGGAGAACAGGACACCCAACTCCAGCTACTACCACTCATCACATTCAGCACAAAATTACAAAATGGCCCATTCATCACTGCGATGGCTCAATAGAATTATGGTTTTGACTGGAAAATATACCATTCATTGTATGACTAACCCACTGGAACCAATTTATTTATGGAGCTTTCATTTCAGAGCTCAATGATTTATAGTCTGAGCCCTCACAAACCAGAAAACTTGGATAACTTTATCATGATGGAGAAAACGTGGTCACTTTATTTCATACTTACAGTTAAGTCCCCAGCTTACGAGCATTTGAGTTGCAAACTTTCACAGATTCAAACAGGCCTCACATTAGGAACATTTGTAGATGGGAACAAATCGCGGAAATAGCTCAAGTGACTGCCGGCCCGTCACAGTGCGGTGCTGCTGTGAGCTCCGGGTTCAGTGCAAGAGAGGACAGTGGTGCAGTGCTCAGTCAGAGCCCAGGGTGTCTGTCCGGGAGTGAGAGGAGAAGTGGTGGTCATGGGGAGAGCCCTGTTACGAAGGGCAATGAAATGTACATTGCATACTTGTGTCAGAGATGTTTGACTCTGTCAGACTTAGGAAGGAACATTCTGGCTTCCGATTGTTCTCCCAGGACAGAATTCATTCGTAAGTCAGGCACTTTCTGCACTGTTATCTAAAGAGAGGGCTGCACCACATGGTTTGGAGTCTAAATGGCAGCTGACAGCAGTCATCTGTTTCTTTGGACTCTTGAGGATAAGACTTTGATGATGGCTTATTGATTCATCCAACTATATATTGAGCACCTACTCTGTGCTGGACATTATACTTCCCTCTAGAATACCAGTGACAAGGCCAGTGGCTGCCCTCAAAGAGGGAAGTCTGCTAGAAGAACAAACTTAACTGCTGTCTGTCAATGTACGAGCTGTACTAGGTAGGGATGAACAGAAAGCCTCAACAGACCAGAGGGAAAAGGAGTTAGCTAAAGCTTACGGAGGGGATGATATTTCAAAATTACCTAATCAAGAGAAGTGGGCCATAGATAGGTGGCTGCTTCTCCCCAAGCTTCATGGGAGCTCCAGCAGTGGTGGAAATAGAATGCTGTTCTAGAAAGGAGGGTTAGTGTCTTGGCTTTAAAATCCTGCTTGGGGGGGCTGGGGATTTAGCTCAGTGGCATAAGCACCTGCCTTGCAAGCGCGTGGTAGTGAGTTCCATCCCTGGTACCAATTAAAAAAAAAAAAAAAAAAAAAAAAACTCCTTAAAATCCTGCTTGAAGGATGGCTTGTTAATTTCCTAGCACCTTTTGGGTTGCACCCACTTCACTCTGTCTGAGACAGCCGCTCCACGAGTTCTGCAGAAGAATCAGCCTGCGGAATTGGGGCCCATTGCTTATAGGCTGGACCACTGCAGGCCAGCAGCGCGGTGGCAGATCTCACACTGCTTGCTGTTGGTTTGCGTAATTGAAGTGAATGCAATTTTTCAGGAAGGCCTTGTGACATCTCTGGCAGTGCCACGTCCCAAAGCCATGGGGGCCTGGA